TACTATGCGATCAAAAAAGACTTGCTGTCGAGTCACCTTTGGATTTTTGTTTACATAGGAAGACATATTTAACTTGAATTTCCAAAGGCAAAGAAACTTTTAGCTTTTATAAAAATAAAATAATGAAGGTCTGGCAGTCACGGGCTCTTGGACTAATAGCAAAGTCTTTTCCAAATGTTTTGTAATGTTTCCGGAATACTGATGTACCAGATATTTCACAAAATTTCTCCCAATGCTGCTCCGATGGATAACTTATTCCATGTCGATGGCTCATGGCATTAACCAACCGAACAGTCATGTTAGACTAGATTCAATATTGGTTAAGATTTTGTGGGTGTGGTCCGAAGACGAGATGCAGGTTAAATGCCCGAAGGTGGAAAAACAGGCGGTTGTGTACTGTAACATTTTTAAACATCCAGAAGAAATTTGATTGTGTCATGACTTAGGTTCGAATCCTAATCAACTTTAATTTTAGTTATATCCCTATTATCTTCGTCGTTTTGATGCCTAATACAGGCCTTCCATGTGCATTCATATCATCGAACTTTGAATTAACGGTATATATTTGATTTTGAACTTGGAACGCAATGTTGAAACTCACCTCCACGTGTGCACATGGTTTGTACAAACTTGGTGAATAAATATGGCGTGGAATTAGGAATATTAGTTTTGGTTTACATTTCGAAGCCAAAGGATGTCGAACAGAAGGTAGAAAATTGCAGCAGCTGTAGTAGAATTATCTGAAGATGAGAAAAAAGAGAAAAAGTTATCCGCTCCGGGAACAATGGCTACTTCCACGTTTGAACTTGGGTCTCTTTGCTTTGAACTCCAAGTTCGACGAAATCAATGTACTTGGAAGGCCCGCTAAGGCTTCTTTAGCTTTTACTAAAGAGGGGAAATTGCAAAGTTCATACCTTTAGACAAGTATCGTGGAATAGGAAACATGTGCATTAGTATTTGGGGTTAAAGTAAATTTGGGACATAAGAACTTATTATCATACTTTGTATTTCTTTAATGATTTCCAAATTCCAAACAGGTCAATGTCCTCTGTCTCCACGAAGGTTAAGCATCATTAAAGTTAATCTTAAAAATTGCAAGCTTGTTGAATTGCACAATGCATAAAGAGAAACTGACGTCAGACCCCTTCCAAAAATTCTCAACGCAGTTACGCAGTACCATTAATTATATACTACGAACTACATAATCAATGGCAGTACGCAGTTAGTATTCATCATTACCCTAGACAGATCCTCTGCCCTCTCTTTGTAGGATCTTTTTGTTAGTTTAAATATTTGTGTAATTATGGCCCAGTCGGGGGCCGAGGTATTACAGTTCTGTAAAAACTTTCAGAATAAATTCTGTAAATTTGCCTTTACGTGTGGATTTATACACTGCTCCAAAGGCGACTATGCAATATATTCCAAGCATGGTGTTATAAGTACCGCAATCCAAAGTGAAATAGACAGACTTAAAGTTCCGGCTCGTGTTCGTTGTGTCAATTTTCAAAAAGGGGATTGCCAGTTAGGGGTAGGCTGCAAGTTCAGCCATAGCAATCCCACAAGAAATGACTTACTTAAGTGCCCAGTGTGCAAAGACATTTTAAAAAATGGTGAACTTTCATTTTTGGTAGAGTGTAGGCACATCATTTGCCGCCCATGTGCCAATAGGCTAGATATGTACCGTACTCTAAGAGACGGCACAGTTTTGAAATTGTGCCCCATGTGCCGGCAAGAGGCAAGAATTGGGCTTGTCGAATAATTCAGTGTAGATGCTACAAAATCTGTAAGTACCTATGTGTTATTTGATTAGGTATAAACTAATAAAGTAAGAACATAGTTCAAAGCGGTTTGGTAGTTGGCCATTAGCAACATTTCTACATTCTAATTTACAATCCCCTTGGTGTGAAGTTTATTTGATTTTTATCAGTTGAAAAAGTTAGTCGTCACATCCCAAAGAGCACATTGAGGTTATGCGGAGGATGGGAGGAATGTGCTGCATTTGCAGGAAAGTGAAACTGCAACCAGTCTTTCCATTGCGTGTTGGTTTCTATTTTAGTCTTTAACGTATTCATATTCAGTTTAGTGATACTTATTGATAACCACAGTCTAGGTCTAGTGCAGTGTTTTAAACTTAGCCGTTTTGAATTGCAGTTAATCATGCCCATGTGCAAAGATTTTTTATTTTCTATTTGCCACCGTGCAGACTGCAAGTACTTTCATAGATTTATGATCTGTAGACAGAATTGCACATTTAATATGTGCAAATTTTTTCATTTGACTCCGAGTGACTTCTTTGACTTGGAAAACGATAGAAGACCTTTCGGAGAGGATTTGCAAAGAGAGGTGAATAGGGTCGCCTATTCATACACGGGTGATGATGAGAGTGGTGTGTATTGTGCCGGTTTGCTTGCGGGTGGCCAGTGCAGTAGCGTATTTTGTAAGCGGTGCATACCACAAGAAAGTAAGTCATTTCGTTATTGCATGATCAAAGTATTTTCCCCTATGTTTTTTATAGTAGTAAACAGTAATTGTAGTTACGATATTACAATTTTATTAAATAAACTATAAAAACTGTTCAAAATGTCCACCGTTGTTAACGACACAATTCCACTCTACACTTCATTAGTGATGCCGCCGAGTCTCGTCTCCAATTTTCGAGACGAGACCGAGGTTCAGTCTCGTCACGACGAGACGAAACTGACCATTAGTCTCGGCGAGTCTCTCGTTTGGTCTCGGAACTTTTTTTTTGTATTTATTTTACTCTTTTTAGCACATTTTTGGAAAAAATTACGCTATTATGTTCGTTATGATTGCCTGCTTGGCTGTCTGACAGGGTGTCCGGCTGAGATCTCAGTAATTACAATAGCTAGAAACTTCAAATTTTCGCTAAGAGCGTTCTGCTTTAGTGCAGATGAGCAGGCTGTACCCTATTTTTAGTTGGATTACTCGTGAGATCGATAATTTGATAGTTTGATTTGTCATTTTTTATAGTATGGCGAGACCAAACCAGATTAAACGAGAGGAGACTGAACCAGCTCGAGAAGAGACTCTGACTTGGTCTCATCTCCAGGAGACGAGACTTTCGAAAGTTACGTCTCGTATCACGGTAACAACTACGCTTCATATTGTCGAAACACTTTCCCGAGGTTCAGGTGAAATTCTTTCAAGTTCCTCAGTAATTTCTGCTCGTAGTTCATCGAGTGTATGGATAGTTTTGTAATGAGGGTGCATAATATGTAGATTTTTATGCAAAATCTGTTGGAATGGCATGTCGAAAAAGACAACTCTGTAATTTGAAAATAAAGTTAATAGGTATCAATTCTACGTGTGCAACTTACCAGCTGGGGCACTTAACGGGGTGCAAATGGTTTTTATGGTTTATCTGACAAACTATTGGTCTCACAAAAATTTACATTTTTTAATAAAAATAAAATTCTTTACATTGGTCCAGTATTAATCGTAGATCCAAAAAGAACAAAGTTATAAATGAAAATTGATGAGCATTTTGTAAAAAATTTTTAATTGGTCGTTAGGTATAACTTTTTTTCTGGTCATTTTGCAAAAAAAAATGAGAGGTTTTTCAAGAAATAATTTTCGTTACAAAATTTTCTTCATTGTTTAAGATTTTACAGCGCTGTTAAGCGAATACTATTCTTTAGTATTCATAACTATACATAAATATTAATGATCTGACAGTTTTCAATAATCTTGTAATTTTTTTATGATAATCTTTTTAATTATTGCAGGAATAAACCACTCAAATTTTGTGTACACTAATATTGTAAAAGAAATTCCTAAAAATTCTTAAATTTCTAAAAAGTTTTGAAAAATCTAAAAAAATTTTTGAAAATTTAAGAAGTTTTAACAAATCCTAGAGAATTCCTAAAAAAAATTGTAATATAAGTATCTAAGAACTCTAGCTTTTAGAAATTTTTTAAAAATTGTAAAAAAATTCGAAAAAATTAAAGTTCTACGAAATTCTAGAAGATTCTAAAAAATTCTAGCAAATTGTAAGATATCTAAAAAATTCTAAACTTCTAAAAAATTCAAGAGATTTAAAAAAATTTAGAAAATTGAAGTTTTAAAAAATTCTACAAAACATTCTAGAACGTTCAAAAAAATTCTAAAATATCAAAAAAATACTAGAAAAATTTAAAAAAATCTACAAAATGCTAGTAGTCAGCTCAAACGTCAAAACCGTGTTCACATAACTCAAAATCGTGTCCAAAACTTCAAAATAGTTTTTACAATAAAATACACAAATAAATACAGGTGCCGCCACGTAAGAAGACATTAGTTTGCGCATTCCCACTATTCATTTCTATTAATTGCAAGTATTAGTGCGCCACGGATCCATCTTCCAGACTTTAAATTCTTATGTTCTTTTATTCCCACACGTTTACTTGGGTATTTTATCACAGTGTTCTCTGAAATGTACACTTTAATTTGATTTTATTTTAAACATCAATAATTTCAAAGTTTTGTGGTGGAATGTCAAGTTAATAACTTCTACGACTAAAAGTTACTGGACCAAAGTTGTAGAGAATTTTATTCTTATTAAAAATTGTTTGAAATACATTTTCAAATACCAACCTTCTCCCATTTAATTCAGATACCTACCCATTGTTGAGTCGAGAAAACGGATACCTTGTACGATAGGTATTTTTCTATGTATTGCTTTTGCTGTTTTTGAGAGACGATTTAATAGTGTTAAAATGATTTTCTTTATACATATGCTTTTTTCAGATCTTCCATATTGTGTACGATGCAAAGGCGTTGTTTTTAATCATACGGTCCATTTGCTTGATGGCTGCCATCATCTGATATGTGACAAATGTGTGCCCCTACTTCCAACGAAAATTGAGGCAATAGTATTTTACCAGTGCCCTTGTGGTAAATTTGGGTATCCTTTTAAATTATATGCATAATAGTAAGTATACCATTCATATAAAATTTTTTTTTGTAATTAGTGTATTAATTTTTCCAGAATTCCACAAGCTTGCTGTTTGCCGCGTTGTAGTTTGCCGCGTTATAGTTTGCCGCGTTGTAGTGACGATGAACACTTGTTCGTTTAGTTTGCCGCGTTGTTACTTTATTGCGTTGTAGTTGCCGCGTTGTAGTTTGCCGCGTTATAGTTTGCCGCGTTATAGTGAAGTTGAACGCTTGTTCGCTTACCGTTCTTTTAGTTTGCCGCGTTGTTGGTTTATCGCGTTGTAGCTTAAAATTCAAGTCTTTGAAGTCGAGAGGCAGTTACTATTCTCCAGGATTCTTGCAATTAATGGTATGTTGGATTAAAATATTGACTAATATTCCTTCAAAAGCAATTTAGATAAGTTCAAATATAAATTTATTGGGGTTATTGGTAGTGATGATCTTGAGCCCGATGACATTGAAGCTAATTGTAACTTTTATTTTTAATCTAATCGACATCCTTTAAGGGCCGGTACTTTTATGCTTCGTTAGTTGTTGATTAAATTTAATGAATCAATGATTAATACACTAGTAATTAGGTAATAATTGTACCCATAGAAAATATTCAGTGGGTAGGCGGTTGATGAAGGTACTGGTCCTAACCTGTAGGGCGTCTTGGATCGGATATGATAGGGGTAACTTTTGTGTTGTTGAATAACGGAAATTAGTTGAAATTAACAATTTTGTGTGATAATTTTGTTCAAAAAATTTAGAAATTCGAGTTTAATTACATTACAAAGTAGATGGATATTGCTTACATCTGCTCTGTATTACTTACAGTTATTTCTTTAAAGCAATGAACCGATTTCACGAAGAAGATTCCAATAAAGTCAAAAAAAGGCATACAAGGAAGGGGATTTCATATAATGAGCTGAATGAAACGATGAAACGAATACATGAAGAAGATTCCACTGGGTGCAAAAAAAGGCGTACAGAAAAATGGGTTTCAGGTAATGAACTGAATTCAAACGGTAGAGAGATGTAATATAAATATTGTCTGGCCCAGATATACTTGTGTATGACCCATTGATGTATCGTAATAATAAGCTTGTTTTATGCAAGAAAACACTTATTATGTGATTGGGGATACCGTTCACAGGTATTGTGTCGCTGACACATACTATCGGTCTTAAAATGTGTGTCACACATTAGCTTTTTTGTCTTTCAGAATTTGACAGATTAAAATAGTTGGAATTGCACACTTCTATCGGTGCGCATATTTAAAAAAACGCCACAACTGTTGTTTGTTGATTCGTCTCAACCCACTTGATTTTAAAACTGAGTCATACATTACACAAGTATAAGTGGCGCAAAGTGTAGCTTAGTATAGGCACAGATCTTTGTATGTGTAGATCTGTGGTATAGGTATTGGCCATATTACTTAAAATGATTTTTTTATAGGTATAAAGCAACTTCATGAGAAAGGTTTGAAACAAGTGGACATGTCAGTTTATAATAATCCAATTTCTTCAAAAAATAGAAGTAAGATAACTAGTTTACCTTATGTATTTTTTAAATTATTTCTCGCTAAAGGTGTACAAAGGTGCAATGTGGAATCCCAAGGGTCCAGTACCTCGTCTGTTATTTTCTCTCATACTAAAGAGATCTATACAGAATCACTGAATTTTAATAAGCGACAGTATATTCCTAGATCAATCAGCACGCGATCTCAAAAAATGGTGGAAAAGTGTACGAAGGAGCCTGTTTGTGTTCTGGTTCGCCTGAATGAAAAAGGTTCGTGAATAATTATTTGTGCAACAAGTTGGAAAAATACACCATTTTGTGTTTGTTTCCACAACTTTTTTTGTGTACTTACTGAATTGAATAAAAAAATTTTATCTTTTCTTAAAAATTCAGAAGTGTGTATCATTTAAAGGTGCACATTTATAAATGAAAAGTTTTTTGTAAATACATAATACCATTCGTTGCAAAAACATTTTCATAATTTATACTTGCATGTGATTAAAATGTGTATTCAACCAAACTTTTACCATTCATAATCAGTTTTAGCTAAGACTTTGTCTAAAGATACCTCCCCCAGCACAGCTTCAGATGATCCTGCATATATTCCATCAGAAGAGTCTAGCACTGGTACATCCATTATGAATGACACTGAAACGCTACAGGCGTGTAAAGATAATACAATAGATTCAGAAGACCCACATTCTTGTCAGCCATTTACTGAGGCCAAAGAGGGGCATAACATAGGTGCAGGTAAATTTCATGTAAAAGAATTTGTATCTGTACTGTTGTTGCTGCATACAAATTATAATTTTAAGTATTACTTTACATTGCATTTACTTATTAGCTACTCAAATTTCATTTTCGGTAAAATAAGCAATGTAAGTGCATACATAGGTAAACAGTAATTCGTTTTTCCAAATGTATTGTCATGTCATGTTATTGATCAAAATAATTCTTAATAGGTATTTTAATTTCTATATTTTCTTATAGGTGAAGCTGATTTAATAGCAGCGGCTGATGAGCAAATATTTGTACTTGAAGAAATGGCGCGGCAGATCCCTGACGAGTCTATGTGTGTACAGTCTCTTGCTAGAGAATCTGAATATATTACCACTCCGACATTAGGTAACGTTTTTATAATTAGTACAGTTTACATGCAGTATGTATCTATAACCTGATGGTAATCCTAATAATAAATACTGTTTTGACTATAGATCCAAATAAAAAAATAAGAATTGTGGACGACCAAATCGTTCATTTAGGCAGAGAGATTAAACGTTCGAATGTTCTGAATGAAAGATGCCCTAGCGCCGATATGCCAAGTGCAGATGAGCTTACATCAGGTAAAAAACTTGTGATATATCATTCCTAGGGTTTACAACCATGACAAATTGGTAATTTCAACTCTGCAAGCGCCAAGCAAACAAAAACAAGACAGACATTTCTATTACGTTCTAACCAAACTGCATAAATATTTGCATTTTTGACTTTTCTAAATCACACTTGTTACTTACTTACATATTTGTCCAGTAGTGTCCAATATATTTTTCTATTTATTTCTGTCAGAGCTATTTTTGTCATTGTTTTACAACTAAGGAAGCAAAAATTAATGGTATGCAAATGATATACGTGAAAAATGAAACATGTGGCTTACTTGGGCTTTTATATAAAACTGTTAGTTGTTTCATATACCAACACGCAAAAGTTACACTCAAGGCTCAAATAGGCTACCTTCATACACTATCTTAACTATATTTCTTTATGAATCGTACAGGGTGGACAATTTCGTTTACTGTAGACATTTGTAGAAAATCCTGAAACACTTCAACTTTAAATTATAAATTTACATTTTTCAGTATGGGCTGGTAATGTATCGTTTGAAAGGTCTCTTCATTTTCTATCCAAAAGTGTGTTTTAAAATTTATATAAAAAAATAAAATCATCTAGTTACCGAAATTCTGTAATTTATTTTTTTTATGTGAATTTTTGCAATAAATTTGCAAACAATAACATTTTTGGTTAGAGAATGAAGAGACCTTTTAAACTTCCCATTTAAAAAATTGGGGATTGTAACTGTCACTCGAAGGAGGTTGAAGGTAGGGATCGCATTTTTACATTTAAGAATGTCAATTTATAATTTAAATTTGACTTGTTTTGGGATTTTCTATAAATGTCTACAGTAGCCGAAATAATGAATATTCCATTTGGCTTGTCCACCCTGTATACATAATAACAATCTTATATATTTATAAGCGGGTTGTGGTGGCGTATAGTGCAGAGGCGAGCAACTACTGATTTTTATTGGGGATGTGATTCATTACGGCTCGCTTCCCCGCATGGTTTCTCATAATTTAGATGTCGCCAGGTGACACTGTATCTAGTAGCATATTATATACCAACTAACGTGTGTGTTTAATGGCCGTTTGCACTGACAAATTTAAGCGGAGCTTAGCTTAAACGTAACTTAAAATCTATGACAACGATTATTGAGACAATGGTCGTCATGTATTTTAAGCTATGCTTAAGCTAAGTTCAGCTTAAATTTGTCGGTGCAAACGGCCATTAGTTCCTTAAATGAAAGACAAAACACGTTGACTTAGTCCACCAAGTACAACAAATAAATTTGTTTTCAGTTCATCTAATACAAGATATCCATAAAGTAGACCAAAGGAACATCAAAGTGCTCCCATCTAAGGGTGGGTGTAAGCAATACTATTGCTCCTACTGCAGCAAACTAGTATGCAACTTTGGCCGTCATATTACAACAAAACATGTGGATGTAAAGGAAGTGTTGGATGTTTTGAAGTTACCAAAAGGTAGGGATAGTTATGTAAGGGTTGGAGTAGTTTTTGCTTGCTTAATCCACAAAGCTATTTGTTCAATTCCGAATAGGCAATCTCGTTACCTTACATGAAGTTATTTAAACACTGTTTTTAGGTCATCCAGAGAGGCATGCCAAAATAGCGTTGATAAGAGGAAAATCACAATTCATGCACAACTCTGATCAAAATATTAACACTGGTACCTTAATAGTTAAAAGAAGGCCAAATGAGGTAAAGGCAAGGGACTACAAACATTATAAACCATGTCCTTCATGCGGTGAAATGTTTGCTAAGATATCCTTAAAAGTTCATTTCGCAAAGTGTACTAATAATACGCTGAAAGCGACCGTACAAAAAAATGTGTGCAGAGAAAGCAAAAAAGTGTTCATGAATATCCACCAAAAAGCCAGTAATCGTTTGGTGAGAGATATATTATCTTCTTGTAGGGAGGATGATATAACTGCAATTTTTGCTTTTGACGAGTTATGTGTATTATATGGAAATAAAATGTGTCGAAAATATCGAAATAGCCACCATGCGTCAATGATACGACAAAGGATGAGGGAAATGGGAAAATTTATGTATGAATTAAATAAAATCCAGCCACATCTAAAGAGCCTACGAGATATGCTTGATCCCAAATATTATGATGACATAGTGAATGTAATAAACCACATTGCAGGACTTGATGAACGTACTGGGAAGTACAGAGCACCATCTACTGCATATAATTTGGGATTACACATAAAATCTATTTCGCTCCTTCTGGAAGCAGAGTGTATAAAAGAACAAAATACTGCAAAGAGAGAGGCGGTGAAGGATTTATTATGTTTAATAAATGAAGGTTTCACAACTGACATTAACAAAACTGTTGGAGAAAATCAATGTGAATCTAAGAGACGTAAAAAAATTGTTTTGCCTACTGCTGAAGATATTTTGGCTTTAAAAACTTTTTTAACTCGAGGTCTTGAAGAAGCATATAACTCTTTGTTGATAGAGTATACACCTAAATGTTGGAGAGATTTGGCAGGTTTAACCTTAACTTCTCTTCAATTATTTAATAGAAGAAGAGCGGGGGAATTGGAAAGGATCGAATTATCGGACTACAAGACGTAAGTAGATACATATGTAACATACGTACGATCTGATTTTTATAAGAAGACAACGGGTCCGCGATGCCGTAATAGCAGAGCTATATGAATGATGCACAAACTGGTCTTCTGCGCCTCAATCCTGTTGTCTTTTTGTTGCTAAAACCTTACTTCAGTTTATCTAAATGGGTGAATACTTTTGAACCTAATCTGTTTTAGATTTGAATACGTCAATGAAAATGATGACAGCCTCCAACAGCTTGATGCAAGTGTTAAGGCAGTAGCAAGAAATTATGGTCGTTTTTTTATTCGTGGAAAATTAAATCGGGCAGTACCAGTTATTCTCAGCAGACAATTAGTCAGCTACACAGATATGATTGTGAAATACAGGGAAGCATATGGAGTTCCAAAGGAAAATCCATACGTGTTTGGCATACCTGGAAGGACTCACTTTACACATTTGAGTGCCTGTGTTTTAATAAGGAGGTACGCAAAAGCTTGTGGTGCACCAAACCCACATACACTGAGAGGCACCGAGTTGCGAAAACAAATTGCAACAGCGTGTTCATTATATAATTTATCAGATCCTTTAGTTGAGGATATGGCTAATCATTTAGGTCATCACATAGATATTCACAAAAAGATATACAGACAATCTATAGGTCGAGAAGTTCCCAACATTGTAAACATTTTATTAAAGACTCTTGGAGAAGGCGAAGTTGAAGAAGACACGGAAGAAGATTCTCGTGCCTTTGTTGGAAATCAAAATAATGGAGACTCTTCGCCCATTTTGTTGGATGATACCCATTATTATGACACATTTGGTGACAACTCTAACCCAATTCACACGACAAATATGACAATCTCTACACCGTCCAATATATTGAATAACTTTGATAACTGTGCACCAATTGACACGATAAGTATGAAAAATGCGACAGTCTCTGCACCGTCTAATGTTGCATCTCACTTTGATGACAACTTCGAACCAATTCACACGACAAAAAAGAAAAATACGACAATCTCTACACCGTCCAATACATTGCACTTGTCATCAATTGACACGATAAGTAAGAAAAATGCGACAGTCTCTGCACCCTCTAATGTTGCATCTCACTTTGATGACAACTTCGAACCAATTCACACGACAAAAAAGAAAAATACGACAATCTCTACACCGTCCAATACATTGCACTTGTCATCAATTGACACGATAAGTAAGAAAAATGCGACAGTCTCTAGACCGTCTAATGATGCATCTTACGACTCGATAAATACTTCCATGTCCAAACGAACGTCATGGTCAAATGAAGAAAAGCAAGCTGTGAATGAACAATTTGATCATATGATTCAGTTTGGTGTTGTTCCGACTTACAAAGAATGTATGGAGTTAAAGGAACAATACCCCTGCTTAGAAAAAAGGACTCCTCCTCAAATAAAGTCTTACGTGGTATACCAAACTAAGAAAAAAGAAACCGTAGGACATTGTAGTCAGTTTAAAAGAGGTATGTTTGCAATTTTGTAAATCACATTTACCATAAAATAATCATTTTTAGTCAGGTGGACCACTCCAGAAAGGAACTTGGTTTTCAGTGAATTTAAAAGTTATTTAGAGCAGAAGAACTTGCCATCTTTACGAAAATGTTCTGAAGTTATAAGCAAGCATCCTATATTATCGTCGAGAACGCCCGAAGTGTTAAAAGCTTACATTAACAATCAAAATAAAAAAAAAAATTAATTATTTGAAAAGATTTCAAATGTATTGTACAACAATTTCCTTTTTGTTATAAAGTGTATTATTTTGTTTGTAGGAAATATCAGTTTTTAAATATCAATGTTTACAACTGTAGAATTGTTTAATATAAAATAGGTCAATGTTAGTTGTCGATATTATGAAATGTGAATGTGATTGTAATTATCCTTATTGTATTATGTTAGTGTGTACGTTTCCAGAACTTCATACCTTCTAATAAAAGACAAAAAAGTACTGAATTTATATCTTATAAGGCAGCGATAGCAATTTTTAACATATATCGGTGTTCGTTGTAAACACGTCCCCTGTGTTTAGTAGGGAGTAAAGAACACCTTACATGAAAGGTGATCGATAAAATTTTGCATGGAATCTTAACTATGAAGTAATATATACGGTGTTCCATTTAAAATAAGCAAGTGGTCATTAACTTCCGGTAAATACAGGTAAACTAAACGATTTTGGTTTTGATTCTTTATATCCTCTTCCAACCACGTAGGTGGTAGGTATACAGTTGTTACGGAAGGGATCACTTCAACCTCCACCCCCATGTTCAATTATTTAAATATACTTTTCAAAAATTTATTAATTACAAAACCAAGGTTAGTCTCTTTCGACGTGAAGCAAGTTTATTATTTCTGACGGTCTTAAAGCTAAATCTATGGTGGCCGGTTTGGTTCTACGTAGGTCTTGATTCGTTTTAAGGATGAAAATGTTCGCTCAGGCGTTGCAGTTGTAACTAGACCAATCTCAAAAATTCCTAGCAATTTCTTGATACTAGAGAAGGTCCCTGGGTTTGTAGTGTGTCTAAATATAAAACATTCACAGCAACTTCAATTTTTGTGCATTTTTTTGCACAAATCTTACTCTGCTTTTAAGGTAGGTAACCTTTTTTAATTATTCTAATTTGATAGTTGCATCATCCATTAAAAAAACCAGAACTAAAATTTGAAAATTAGGTGTACCTACCAATCAAATTTGCATGAGAGGCAAGCCTAGCTTTGAACTCCTCTAGTACATGACCAAAAAAAGGGCAAAAGATAGATCTTTTAGGATACCTATTCTTTTGGAGTTATTACCTTTCTACAACATGATTTTTATACCTTTGTTTTGAAATTATACAGGGGGTAGTAATTTCCTTTGTGGTAACTTTTCCTTGCGTCCCAATAATTTTGTGCAATTCGGCTTTGCTATCATCGCATCTCAACGATTCTACCTATAACTGCTTTAACGGGCTTTCAAGTTTCATTAAGATTTATGTTGACAGTCTGCAAACCCACGCTAAGAGTCGATGTGTACCTAACTGAACCTTGTTTAAAATCATTAAAGAAATTTGAAATTGATAGTTGTCTAGACTTTGGCTAAACTGAAATGCTTGCGAGTCTCTATTATCACATTTTCAATGTGTACAGTGCTTCAAGAATGCTACAAATCGGTTCACGACTTAAAATGTTTCAATCGATCTTGTTTCACAGAGAGTCGTACTACCTACCTACCTACCAATTTCGTTGCTTTTGAGCACATCATTCTGTAAAGAAGAAAAAACAGTAGGTACCTATAAATTCTTTAAGTATATTATGGTGACTTCTGATGAATGCGCCAGAACTCGACCTCGACCTCCCCAGACTACTTGGCGGTAGCGCTAACCCATATTGACGTTATCACTCAAAGTGTCGCGAGCTATATAGATTCTAGCGCGATCTTTCCTTAGCCGGAAATTTAAAATGATGGTGCTAAGTTAACGAAGCCCATTACTGACAAGGCACAATCAGTTGAAGGTAGGTATGCTACTGTGCTGAATAATCAACCACTTTTGAAACATATCCTTCAATCACTGCCCCGTGATAAGACTCCATCATTTACCTAAAATTAATCACGCATATCCAAAAAGTTACTCTACATGCCGGCATCCACATTGTCCTATAGGTACATGCATACATGACAACATTTGATGTAAATGTCGCCAAATGACAAAGTTAATTATGTATTCCAGACGCGACATAAAATAAGAGTATCATGGACAAAATTACCTACCATCAGGTGAAACTTGTTAAAGTTGCATAACATTTCCCGATTCCTCTAACGAAAATTTTTGTTCTTGTCGATTTTATTTATTGTAATTGAATTAATGTTGTTAATTTCATGCATCATTTCTCATCCTCAATGAATTTTAGGGCTGTTGTTCATATCTAAAATCTCTGTAAAACTCTCGGTTAAACTTGTCGGTAAACTTAACAGTTATGGTATTCCACGGACCTTTTTTTTACAAGGTTTGTGCTGTATTTACATGTTAGGTAAGTTTAACTGAGACAAGAACTGGCCCTAGATGGCTCAGATTATCGGTTTTTAAGGCCGTAACGTGATTTTATTTCTTTGCTATTTTTATCATTTTATGTAGCTATTACGTACATCACTAGTTTTGCCTATATATTTCACAATTCGAATTACCTATCAAACAAGCACCTACCTATAACTACATTTCGACCAAGAAACCTATTAATGGTAAATTCTTTCAATTTATACTTGTTATTAAAACAGCATAAAAATAGTTACAGAATTAAACATAACCTATAACGAATTATTTGATTGAAACCCCCTTGAAAAAAAAGTTTCGCCGCTCGTGTACTTGAATTTCGACTACACTATTATGATTGAAAATATACAGGGTGATTCCTATAGTACCTGCCACCGTTTGGGAGCGTGTAGG